ATATTAGCGTTATTAATAACAGAAAACAATAAAAAAAACTTAATGTTTGAAGAACTAATGGACCTGCCGTAGGTGCATGTTTATTTGCTATTTAAATTTGTTTTTCTGACAAAAATAGAATCTAAAAACACATCTATACAACTGATAAAAGTATTAAAAACACAACCGCTTGAAATTTTAAAATTTTATACCGCCATATTTTTACTTAAAATATTCTTTTCTCTCATATCGTCCGCCATTACTAGCATAAAAAAATTTCTGGTCGGGCCGTAATGCATTATGGGATGCGGTGGGCCGGGAAGGATCCATCGGACCAGTCGTTCAATTCAGGCCAAAGGAAGGACGCGTTTGTCCTTCAGCCTTCGAAGGACCCGGCCTCTCGTTTTGGACRCAGCCCTTGTCGCGGYAAATGTTATTTAGCTCTGGTGGCCAACTTGAATTGGCCACCAGAGCCACGTCCATTAGTTGTAGATGTACGTCTGATCGGTTCTGTCTAAAAAGGTCTTTAATATGTCCATGAGATTCATGAGATATTTTGCTAACAGACATGTAGAGTTGACAGTATGTGTTGGGAATGAATCTCAGTTACCATCACACCAAATTGTAGTGCAATGATTGTAAAATTGGCTGCCACTTTTGTGTTTGCTACGGTGACTTAGCTGCGGCGGCCATCTTCTTGAATGAGTTTGACTTCAGATGTTCAGCAGTTTTCGAAGTACCTCCAGTTATAATTTTCCAAGAGGATCATTAAAATCAGTTCACTTTGTAATAAGACATTTTTGCTAATGAAGGCCAAAACATTTTTGCCTTACACCTTCAGCAGCAGATGWTAAATTTGTAACACTGTCATAGTTAACTGTTGGAAAAATGCTAAAAATGTTTGCAAGGTTACTTTTGTATTTTAACATTTTAGAAATAAAAAAATAACGTGAGAAAGCATTTTTAATTAGATTATTATGTAATAATACGTATGAAACTAACTTGTTTAAATTTTGTTTGTGTTTGCTTGTGTAAAAGTACTTGAACAATTTAACCTTAACTTTCTAGTTTTCTTGCTTTATCCCTTCATTTTTTTTTTGTTTTAACCAGTTTTGTTTGTCCTTTTAATAGGACAGAAAATAAATATGTGAAAAACATGTTTTTTTTTCTGGTTTCGGCATCTAGTGAATTACATAAAAAATCTCTGTTTACTAAAACTGATTCTTTATCAAAAAAAAAGCTTCAAATTCCTGTTTATCTTTGTGAAATAAACAGGAAGGAAACCTTGACTGTATTATCAGTAGATGAGTGGGATTGTGAATGCCAAAATAAGAAAAAAAAAGTTACGTTTTGATGTTGAATTGTCGCTCTCTGTGTCTGTGTTTTTAGATAAGGCCCCACACTTCTCCAGACTTGGAGATGAGGAGATCAACGCTGGTCAAAATGCAACTTTTCAGTGTGTTGCTGCTGGAAGATCCTCGGAGGCAGAAAAGTTCCTGCTGGAGGTTGGTGTTTTAATTGTGTTTAGAATGAAAGAGACGCACGTGTGTGTGTGTGTGTTTGTTTTTTGGTGACATTTGGGGGCAATTTTAAAACAAAATGCCTACATTTGGGGACAACTGGTGCATTTGGGGACCTACAAGTAAGTCAACTCCCTGTTTGCTTTAAATGCCGTTGGTGGGTTGGGGGTTGGGTTTAGGACCAAGTTGTGAATTGAGTTTAGGTTAGTTTTAGGGTCAGGTCAGGTTAGGTTAGTTTTAGGGTCAGGCTAACCTCACAGGTACCTGTGAGTTTAGCCTTAGGGTTTGTGGTCAGGGTTAGGCTGTAGAAATGTAATGGAAGTCAATGGAATGTCCCCAAATGGATAGCTGTGCAAACTTATGTGTGTGTGGCCTTGTTTTTTGTACATTGTGGGGCCCATGTTTAAGAAAAATGCAGCCTTGTGGGGACCGGGTGCTCCTTTTGGGGCCCAAAGCCTGGGCCCCACAACTTCGGAGGCTGATTTTTGGTTGGGGTTGAGTTTAGGACCAAGGTGGGAATTGAGTTTAGGTTAGTTTTAGGGTCAGATAGGTACCTGTGAGGTTAGCCTTAGGGTTTGTGGTCAGGGTCAGGCTGTAGAAATGTAATGGAAGACAATGGAATGTCCCAAAATGTCTAGCTGGGCAAACATATGTGTGTGTGTGTGTGTGTGTGTGTGTGTGTGTGTGTGTGTGTGTGTGTGTGTGTGTGTGTGTGTGTGTGT